AAAATGTTCTTGACTCATTTAGTTGTAAAATCGCCTTGATAAAGGTTGCCCACGGTAACCGAAACGTCGGCTTATTTTCATATGTATCAATATCGATCTGTTTCAAAACTAAAACTTATATGAAACATTCATTTTAACTTGGTCGTCATACTAGTGGTAATTGTCAGTTTGGGCTATTTTTGGTGTTGCCTGTTGTATTATGCCCAAGATTTTCAAACGGCTCGTTTTTGCATGGGCTTTGGATGATATTTGTAGTTTTAGGTGTTTTTAGTGTCTAACTCCGTTTCACTGCTCTGATCTGCTAGATTACACATCAAAAATAGGAGGAAGCCAAAAGAAGATTGACAATCACCCAGCACTAAGCACATTGATTAATATCACTCTACTTCAAATACGTCATCTTTACTCTGATGCACAAAGTGCTCAAAAATATCACCTAATATTGAGTGAAGTGTCACTGACAGGAAACGTGCAGGTGGCTCATTTTTATTTGACAACTATAGCTGGTCTACCGTCTCGTTTCTTTTTCCTGCCTTACACATGTCCATTTGTTTTATGTTGTTTGATTTGGTTTGGACTACCAAATTTATTGCTTGCTTTGGTATCTTTAAAATTCCATTTAAAGATCACTTTTCTACACTATTTGTGTCCTGATCATTTTTGAGATCCTGGTAGAAGTAATCGCACGATGATCGTCATCTTTTTGGTCGACTGCAATACTTCGTTCTGTTTCAATCCTGACTATCGTTTCATGCATATGATTCAAACATATAGCGTGTACTTTTTTGCACGGTTGCCTATTTATATCCACTTTTGTTGTTCCGTTATGAATTTAGTTTTCACATCAAATTGTCCGTGCAGAAAGACTCTGAGTGATATGGCTGTGTCATGACCAGTGGTACTGGTGCATCTTCTCAATTTCTGTGCAACCCTAGACCACTGAAATTCTCCATTTTCTGTTCGACTCCACTTTCAACTTTCCTGTCTGTCTTTTATTCTTCATCCAAATTGGCGCCCAAAAGACAGCGACCAAAACTGGCGCATGAAAGTGCATGGTTATTGGTTATACAAACTGAACTGGACTGAACTTAATTGAGCATAAGTTTGTCAATCCGTATTTGCTTCCATGTTCGAGTGTTTCATATCTCTCTCTCGCTCAAAATTGTCTGCAGTCTATGCAGAGATGAATGAAACAGTGGCCTGTTGCCAGCTAGATCATTGTTTGACCTACTCCAATATGCTCTAAAAAATTTCGGGATCTCTCTCACTCTATCGATGAGGAGTGTGAGTTATTAAAATCTCAATTAGAGCGCTCAAAACGAATTCACAGTGTTCAACAACCTGACTCTCACAAGCCGATCACGACGGTTTGTCCTTTCCATTGGTGAGTTTGTTTCAGACTATTTGTCATCCGGGGTGAGCAGCTAGACATGCTCTGTCAGATGTACCGGTTGAGTTATTTTTACTTTGAGCAAGTTTTTTACATGCAATTGCGGTTCTCCTATGCCGATGGCCTGCGATCAGACTTGGCTTGGCCAAAGACCCCGGTTGTGAATTGCCCAAGAAAATCTGCCTCCCAAGGCTGGACTGAACAGTGTGGCAGTACTCCACTCACCAGCATATCCCAGACTGCTGTCTCGTTTAAAGAGATTATTGCATCGTGATTAGTTCGGTACACAGAACGAACCCAGACTCATACGGAATATAATTTAATATACAACTTACATAATACTGTAATTGGATGTCGCTTGTTTGAGCACACTGATTGTATTAATGATTTGATTTGTTCCTTGAAATTAGTTAGTTAAACATTGTTATTTCAGAGGTGAATGGCACAATTTTCCTGTATGGCCGTCTTCACTGACTCACTCTAAAAATAAGATGAAATTCAACAACTTTAATTTTACAGTTACGTAATGTAAGCAAATTTATTAACCACAAATACAATCGTTTAAGTTTTCATACTATTAGCATATAGCTTTTTAAAATCAAGAAATTTTCCCTTCTATCTGAAAACTTTTATTATCAGAATTTTTGGAAAATAGCTCCGTCACATGCAAACGAGTTTTTGAACCCAATGCGGCGCAAACCAGCTGTACGGGATTGCCTCCGATCACTCAGTACACAGCTGGTTATCGATTTGTACATTTCGATTCGAACATCACGAATGTGAATTCAACGGGACCAAATGGGACTACAGATTCCAAAGATATTCTGGCTTTTCTCATTCCCATCAATTCAACGCAGTGTTTTGACACAAATGAAGCATCTCGTCCATGCCCAACGTCTAACCCGGTTTTTGATTCCGTGTCTAAATTATGTGCGAATGTCGTAACAAAGGTGAGCCCTACAGTACTCCGAATGGATAAAATAACCTTTATCTGTGTAGTTACCAAATTACTAGACACAGCATGAATAAAAAGTTGTTGTGTTATGAAAAACTCAAAAACTGAAATTTTCTTGATAATTATCCCAATTTAAAATTGTCCAATCTTGACGGCTGTGACAAAGGTCACCAAATTATCGTCCCGGTGGGCACGTGTTCAAAACCAACCACCACTGCCCACTTTCCTCATCCATGAAAATCTCGTCTTTATACATTCAATAAAAGGAAGTAAAAATGAAAGAGAATTAATTATTAAACTGGTAATTCCAACAACCACGAAGTTCATTTCAACTTGTTCCTACAATTTAGCATGCTAACCTTTTGGTGTTTTACTGGTCGTCTCAATGTTCATTCCATTCAGGATGAATGACTGTCTAACCCTGAACAGTGATTCTGATGAATTCTGTGTTTATTTTTATTTCTCGATCTGCCAAGTATATGTGTGAACACCTTACAATAAGTAGTATATCAATAACTGGACAAAGTGGCCCGGGAAGCACATGACCGGTTTCGCGGCTCTTGCAGGCATGCGTACCCGTTAATCTTTTTTCACTTATATATATATATATATTCAACACAAATATCTCATTTGCAACAACGAGTAAATTTGTTTGGATAGGCCTTTCGGAACCAGTCCATTTGTGAATCATTTCTATGATTCGATTTTCCGTGGATGAACTAGATGCCACTAGATGCCACACCACAACGAAATTGACTTGGGTGTGTTCAGAAATGCTTTACAACAAATTTTCCGATTAGGAGCAAGAACCGCGAAACCGGTCGTTTGTTTCTGGGGCAGTTTGTTCAATAATTCTATACTACTTAAGTGTAAGTATGTAAATATGGTTATTAAATATAGATTGTTAAAAAAACTACAGGATGAGAATGTTGATAACAAAATACCATCCATCTTTTATCCTCGAACAGAGTATTCATTCTGAAAACATTTTTCTAAGATTAGAAAATAATTTCGTTTGCTAACCTGTGTTCTTATAGCTATTCAGTAGCGAATAGTCACACATTGTCACAAGAAGATAAAGAAATAGATACTCAGTACTTTGAATGTGGATCGTGGAATAACAACCACGAGCATTTAATCGCCATCTCTTAGGTTTGAAGGTGTTAACCGCCAATGCTGTTTCTCAGGCTTATTGATTCTGTCTTCTTCAGAAAGTTTGGGTGTCGGGTCCCGGTAGAGACACCCAAAAGCAGCATCCAGCGCTGAAAAGTCCCAACAAGGGGAAACAACTGTTCCATCCATGCTCCTGGTCAGGAGTCAAACGATAACTTCATCTTCAGTAAGTGGGAACTGAATGAATTCGCAAGGATTTAAACT